GAGGATTAATTTACTTGTACTTATTATATAAATTATTATGTTAGGTGCTTCAAGCCATCAATAGTTGTCTTAATTATTTTGCATTTGAATAAAAAACCAAAATATAGTACTGCTGCTAAACTATTACAATTATGAATCCAGGCACAGTTTTGACCTGAATCCATAGCACAACACATGTTCAGTTACACCTGTTCATCTTGGGAATGCTGTCTCCTCTCTGATGTTTAGTGTTCAGTCTCTTACAATGCTATGAATGATTTTTTAGTGGCTGTAGTCCATTGTGAGAAACAATAGCCACGTCTGTAATATAAAAAGTATATTAAGACTATTATCATCTCTTTATTCATCTTGTTCACCTCACTGTGTACACACAGAAGAAAAACAGGCTCAAGACTACTTTTCTCCTTTTTGCCCACTGCTTGAATTTTATCTTTAAAATCAATCTTTTCATACAAAATTCGTATTATTGTAATCTTTCTTTTCTAACTCACTGTTGACAACTGTCATACTGTGCAAACCATCATGAGAACTCTCACTGAACTGAAGAAGAACCAGATCTTGTCCATCATTTGAGGACTGCTTTCCATATATACTGTCTCACACACCACCACCACCACCCTCCCACCACCCCCAGTTTTTTCAGCCATGTCATTGCAGACTTTACCCCAAAGCAGGCAGTAGCTCACATTTGCTCTGCTGCTACATTATCTTTCCCTCCTATTGTTCTGTCCCTTGTCTTAAAAAACTCTTCCTGCATCACCCATCTTGTGCGCTGAGTGGGTATTTCTGCCTTCTGATGCACATCTTTCTGTCCATATCTAACTTAATTCCCTCTCATGCCAAATCCAAGGTCAAAAATTGTTTCCCGTACTCTCTCTGGCCCTAATTCTGGACTGGGTACCATCACGGCTAGGAATGCTGTTTCCAGTTGGAAATTCCTTGATATTACTGATATTGAGGAAGTGGTTAGAGGACTCTCTACCTTCTACTGTTCTGGCTGCCAGCCTAGCCTGGAGGCTTCTTCTGGTAAGTATCAAAAAACTGCAGCAAGATACAAAATTACACTGAGAGTTCTACCCGCACCCAGAAATCAGGACATGGAAAGATGTCCAAAAGCCTATTCAGTTCCCCCGCCTGGATTCCAACTATTTCTGCTTGTGTAGGTATTGTATCCTTTGCACATACCTCCATGTGATGCTCATTCCCTTCAATAGCTATCAAATATAATTTCTATTTCCAGTTGCATTATCATGTTCCATTAAACCCAGTTCCTCTAACCTTCAGACACTTCTTACTATGTGTTCTCAAATTCAACCCCTAGATTAGAAGGGGTTGAGGATTTTTCTGGTGCTGTTGTATTTTTAAGCTTTTTTTTTTTTTTTTTCAGTTGCTGTTGTATTTTCTTAGAAATTTCTTTTCTATGTGTATCCATGCTAGAGCCCTAAAGTATGGTGGTGACAGATATAGTGAGTTAAATGGGACAATCCTCCAGCCTTGCCCGTCTTCCAGGCATAATAGACAAATGACCCAATAATGTCTTGCAGCCTCAAATCTAAATTGGCATTTGCTAACTTCCATTTCTTTTTTCTGTTACCACAATTCATTTTCTCGGTTAAGCATTCTTCTGTACAACCAAAAGCATCATACGGACAGACACCTCTCGGTAGGTGAGGCAACTGCAGTAGTTACCATTATTCACTCCAAACCTTTTAGAGTTGTTTATCATCATGGTTTGTTTTCCTCTTTCAGAAAGAAGGAAGGTGTGTAACAATACTTTATTAAATGTGCTGCAGACTTCTCTCCCTTTCTTCTAAAATTTAAATTAATTTTAAGAGGAAAACATAAGTCTGACCTGTATGAGACAGGTTAGTAAAGGTGTGTTATAATGCACCACTAGTGATTGCTAAAAAGTGGTCAGTGGTGCCCTACCTTGTAGTCTTGAAATGGGAAGGACCTGAAGGTTGTTTGTGGTTGTGTATTTCAGTAGATCGCAATCAAACTGGCTTGAGTGGCCATGAAGTTAGTTGATAGCTTCTGGATATGGTACTGACTTAACAGCATTTCAGAAATGTGTTTCCAACATACTTTCTTAATTGTGCCATCGAAGAAAAGGCGTCCACTCTTGGAGGGCAAACTGAAGTCATTACAGAAAAAACAAACCAGCTTTCTTTCCTTTCCTTAGTTGATACATATTTCACATGTAGTATATTGCAGAGGAACTTTTAAGTACCTTAGTTCTAGAAACCCTTTTAATACTAAAGCACAGGCTTTGGTTTTGCAGGTAAGTTTTGGGTATTTCCATTCTGTTGTAAAAGACTCTTTCCGTGACTTACTGATTCTTATGACCACTAATGTGAAGATACCATGAAAGTACCTGGTGAAACAGAGGTGTGATTTGCAGATGGTGAAAAATAGCATACTTCTAAATTCTGCCGAACCAGAAAGTCTTAAAGCAAGCTAACAAATACAATAAAATGTCACTAAATTCTTCATAAAAGCTATTTACGTGAATTGTGATAAACAGAGCACTGTAGACATTTTCAGGGTGTCAGTCACTTGAAAATGTAGGAGACCCTTGAGTTTTATGAAATCTAAGTAATTTATGACATTTCTATGCTTTTATACTTCAGGCAATTATCTGGAAACACGGACTTTTCTTTCTAGTATTGTAAGGCTTAACTATAATATGTGTGACTGAATCAGAAAGGTTTTGAATGCTGAGGATGGAAAGAATTATGCTTTACTTCATCCTTCAAGTGGTTTGTGTATTTTTGAAATAACAAAAGCTGTCGTTCCCTTTCACTTGTAGAATTTTTTTTTTTTTACTGCGCTGTAGAATTGGGCCTTGTTTGCTGAAGAGATCTTGAGCATGTTTGTCTTGATCCACAAGGAAGAATCGCATGTGGAGTCTCGTCGTGATCCAGACGTTACTGCTCTGAAACGGCACTTGTGAAGTCAATCACCCATCCGCCGCGTACGTGCGTGTGAACGCGTATGCAGGAAGCTCGCCAGGAACAGGACACGCATCCACCTTGGGGCGACTGCGTGCCCTCAGTAAGTTAAGCCAACGCATGGGAAATGTAGGTTTCAGAGAGCAGCAGTGCTAAGTCACACACATCCTCAGTCACCTCGCCAAACGCCCCGACCAGTCCTGTAACGGTCGTGGGCAGATTTGGCCGTGCGTGACCCTAACGAGGCGCTTCGGGGAGCCGTCGCCTCACTCGAAGCCTCCCTCCCGTCGGCCGAGCCCGGCGTGCGGCTTACCCCGGGCCCGGGCTCGGGCGC